TAGGGACAAATAGGGAATGGCATAAGTAAACTCCTGGGTATCACAGGCCCTACTCATACCCATGAAACGCGTGAAATGAGAGCAATGGTGAATGCAGAAACAACTCCACAAACAACCAAAACACCCAAATCAAGGTCTGTGTGTTTGGGGCTCTATGGAAAGTATATCCATGCTGCAACCCATAAGAGCAAGATGATGATGCCTAAGTTGAGGTGGTGTGTGTGTGATGGGATCACTGATGACAGTGATGATGTTGATGGCTTGTAAGCTGGTGGTGGTGGTGGTGGTGGTGGTGGTGGTGGTGGTGGTGGTGGTGAGGATGTTAGGTTGGGTGGAGATGAAGGATGTTGATATAGAATAGGACAGATATGACATACAGAGTATGCCTCTTGTGGCCAAACATCCCCACAACAACAACCCACTCCACAATGATCCCAACCCAAAACCAACACCAAAACCCAAAATAGTAGTGGTCACAGTCACAGTCACAGCTGGTATGTTGTTGATGAAAGTAGATACATTACTAGTATCTGTCCCTTGTGTTGTCTTCATCCTTGAGAGTAGAACAGCTAGCATCAAGAGCATCAGTTGCCACACCATAAATGGCATGAACAACTCCAATATGGGTCGCTCCATCCAAAGAGGGCGACGTTCCATAAAGGGAAGTGCATCTGAGCATAGTTTCCCCATCTTCATGTCTTCACATCAACCTGGCACTTTAATGTCCCAAAATTTGATAATAGTTTGGTATATCAGACAATTTGGCAATAGTTTCGGCGTTCTTGGGTAGTCTCGGTGTTGTCGGATAGCGTTCTCGGGTTCGGATCACAGCGTTTGTCGTCGTTGTCGTTGTCGTCAATGTTAAAGACCTTTCCACTATGGGGAGCAAGACAACCGCTATGGGGGGCGAATTGAATTCTGGGGTATCTACTACAGAAACGAGCTGAATATATACTACTTGCTTACGCGAGACTTATCTAATCTTGATGGCCCCGGCCGCCCCGGCCACGGTCACGTGGTGTTTCACTGTAATGTTTCGCCCACTTGCAACGCGTCGCACCTCACGTGTTTGGTTTCACCTTGCGTTTATCCACCTCCCCGCGTTTGGGTGTGTGTTTGAACCACCCGCGACGCGTTCGAGCCGAAACGCGTCTGCCATTGGCTAGTTTTGTGTTTCCGGCTCGGCCGGCCCCGGCCCGGTCGGTCACGTGTCGGCCGATGTGCGACCGGTCAAAGATGGCCCGGATGGCCATTCCAGCGAAGTTTCCACCGTTCGACGTGTTCCACGCTCGACACCCATACCGGCACAGCCACCATACCCGTACCCATGGGTATGGGTATGCATAGATATGGATAAACCCATGAGTAAACAGTTATATTTGTAAAATGTCAATAGTGGTACTTTAATTGGTTAAGACTAATGTGAACTTGCTACAAATGCACTTAAAAGTCTATAGATACTCATGTCCTTCAATGAATACATAGTTTAAAACAGATTACATAAAATGACTGCTTACTCATATTGCATGACTACATACATATGGGTCTGCAGGTAGCTGACCCAAGGGTCCATGGGTAGGTTTGACCCATGGGTTGGGCCAACCCATGCCATTGCCTGGGGACAAATACACATATGGGAAGCCTGTGACAGAGATCGACATGTCGGGCCCGATGTTGATCACTCCTCAGTGGGCCCATGTATATAAAGCACAATAGTGTACAACTGTACTCTATCACCTAGATCGTCTATTGTACCACTTCTCTCTGTGCAAGGAGGTAGTGCTGACTCATTGGGCCTGAAACAACCTGATTCGACCCCAACACCGACTTCGACAAGGGACCACTTCAACGGGCCCTTTCAGGTCAATTCTACCCCACTCACGCTTGATGATCCGTCCGTTCTGTTCTGAGTACATGTTTCTTAGCACGGCCCAACTCGAACTGACACAAATCCTGACATTGGTTCTAGGGTAAAAAGATGAATCATGTAGAGGATTTTGGAAAATTAGACAAGATCTGGGAAGCATAATGTGCCTGGTCTTTGACAACCAGGCCTGTAGTATGTGTTACATAACACACTACTTACAATAGGGTGCTGTGAGTAATTCAAAAAGAATTACATTACTCACCACTGTTTTGAAGTTTCGAAACTGTTTCAAAACCGGGCAGCTCGATGAGGTAAGTTACCACCGGCCGGTGACAACCAGGTGGGGCTGGCCTGGTGAGCAGGTCGTGCATAGATGCCTTGTGGCAGATCAGAACAAATGTTTGATTGTATCATGGGTGTCAGACTGCGGGTCGGGCCGTGCAAGGATCTCTCCTAAGAACGCGCGCCCGGAACAGAACAGACGGATAGTCGGGCCCGCAAGTATGGCAGGCGGGGTAGATTGAAACCGAAAGGGCCCGTGAACTCGGTCCCTTGTCGCTATCGGTGGTCGAAGGTTCGAATCGGGTCGTGTCGGGCCTGATGAGTCAATAACGTCTCCTTGCACGGAGTAAGGTAGTTCTTCAGACGATCTAAGCGATAGGGTACAGGGTACACTATCGCGCCTTATATATGCGGGCCCCGCAAAGGGGGTGATCAGACACCCTGGCCTCTCCTCCTCCTCCTCGCTCCCGTTCCTGGCCGCAGAGGGGATGATTGTACATCCCTTGCGGGCCAGGCGCTACTCCTAACCTCCTAGCACTCCTCCCCAGTCTCCTTGTGTCGAGTTGGGCTCGGCGACGGCTCGACGCGTCGTTCTCAGTCACGTGCTTCCCATGTGTGCGTTCCTCCTACTGAGGCGCATGTTCCCCGTCGTCACGTGCTCCATGCTACGGGCCGGCAATGGCCTGACACCAGCGCCGGAGCGTCTGGGCCGGGTCTTATCTGTGACAATAGGCCACACATGTGTCCGTGGTGGCTCTGGGAGCCCGATTCACGTGCCGGACGCATCCCGGATCTATCATGTGCCTGTTTCGAAACCATAGTTGGTCCATGGACATTTCGAAACAGGTTCAACTCACTGTCAGGGGAAGCCCCCTTTCAGCCCCTCGGAGACACATCCGATTCCGGTCCGACTCTGGTTCCGACTCCGGTCTGGCCCTCCATCTCGCCCGCACAATCACCGATCCGTCAACGCCCTCCCGACGGTCGCCCTGGGACCTCGCCTGCGACGCCGCCCAAGCCTTCTGTGCCGACAGCGGCAGCTACGGACAAGCAGTATATAGTCAGCTCCCTAGCAAGCGGACCCTTAGAGTTTCTTCTCTTTGGATCCTCCCCTGCTAGGTCAGCTTCATTTGTATTCGCTTACCAAATTTTCACACTTTGGATCCTCCCCTGCTAGGACCTTGATCTCAGGCCTCCGGGGTTGCCCTTACACTCACAGCACCCTAACTTACAACCTAACGGACCAGGTGTTATGTGTGACATTGTAGTGATGCACTTAAGTACAGTACAGTAGTATTTATGTGAATATCTGCATGACTATGAGCTCCTCTGGGCTATCACTACGATTGTTGTCTGTAGCATATGTTGGTGGTGAACTTGAATTATTATCTCTATGCTCCTGTGGTTGAATAATTGGGCCTCTTGTTATCATTCCATGTGGCTCCAACTGTATTCCTTGTGGTGCATATTTACCCAAATGGGTGTCATGATATAGTGTCTCCATTGGAAATGCAGTTGGCATAGTGAGTTTCAGCTGCTTTTTGTAATGGTATTGACGCCTGCGGAGGTAGTAGATAATGATTGCCAAGCTAATTGCTATGAAAAGGGGGATTCCGATGCCTAGTCCTGCAATTAAAATAATATTATGCTTATGTTCAGCTGACATTAGCTGTGGGACTGCTGAAAGGGTGATACTAGTAACAGGTATCTGATCTTTGTATGTCATGACTTGTCAAATAAAGGAAGAGAGCATAGTGAACATACCTGGGTCACAGTCATACTACCTGGGTCTAATGTCCAGGACTGGAAGGCAGAAACCAATCCTGATATTGGCATTGTTGATAAAGATTGAATATTGCTGGTGCTTGGGATACTAGTAGCAGATGACCCTGTCACTGGGCTATCACTAGTTGCTTTACTAGTTGCTGCTGCTGCTGCTGCACCAGATATATCAATAGTTGTTACATCTGTGGATCTGTTGAAGTATGAATATTAGCTTATCAGCTCTTTTGGAGCACAATGCAGATGATAAAGCTTTCATACATGATTGCCCTCATGGAGCAGTTATCTCCCCCAGAGATCAACAGTGACGTCTCGCAAAATGGATTCAGTTATGATATTTTTATTAACACAATAAACAAGAAAAAACTTACAACATCATATATACAGTGGAACACAACCCCACTATCTGCATAGTCACAGAGCAGCTTTGTAGGCGACAGAAAATGCTGTTGGGTAAGCCGGTTTCCCTGGTTGTCCACCAGCGGACACGATTCCGGTTGGCTGTCAGGCTGTTGAGTCACAGTCATCCGAATTGTGCAAATGGAGAGCACCCATGGTCCTTATATGCCCTGCAAGTTGCTCATACATCATTTGATTATGGGTGGCAAGAATGATCAATAATCCCTTGAACGACTAATTAATTATAAGTAAGCTGTCTGAAGAAATATATTTGATCAGTTGATATGGCTACCGGGGTAAGTAATATCTTCCTTCCTATCATAGATAGAAGTCAACGCAACCAGAGTTCCCCTCATACAGATCAACTATTTTTACTGGAACAGGTGAAGTATTCTAGCTGTGGCCTTCCTCCGACAAATGATAGAAAAAAGAGTCAAGAAGATAGAAGATACCATCAAACAATGTTCTTCATGATCATTGGCCAATTCCGAGTCTCAGATGATCAAGGACACCCAGCTTTTACCTTTCTTGGTGCATCATGATTGGAATTTCATGGACCAGAATCATGGTCTCTACCAGCTTCTGTTTGGAGTCCGACTCGGAGCTCAAATCATAACATGCTCTAGTTATTCATACAGTAGGACTCCGGCAGAAGCAGCATATCACCTGCCTAATGTATGCCTACTTCCAACACATCCAACCCTTCCAAGAGCTCGCGGATTTCCTGTGCTAGCTCAAACTTCGGTGCCTTTTCCCCATGCATAACTGCATTTACCGCCTTATCCCGCCACTGCGCCGCGAGCTCCCGCAGGCCCCGATCCAACGCGTCGCTTGCCGCATACAAGGGGACCGCGCGCCATCTCGTATGTTTGCCTTCCTCATTTAATGCGCACAAGTGGACCTGCATTCGCCCCCCGCTACGTCGCGCTTTCTCCGCAAGTGCGCGCGAGAATGCGTATGGTGATGAGTCGTCAGGGAGGATCAACGAGACTGCCGGCTGTGTGCTCGCGGTCCGGTAGTCGAATGCGACGAATGGCGTCTCGACGACGATGCCCGGCCGCTGTTTGCCATACCAGGCCACGAGTTTGTTTGCAATTAGCGGCAGCACGGAAGGGTAGTCCGCCTCGAGCAAGCGGCCCAGGAACTTCTTGTCTTTCTGCGGAAGCAGGTCTGTCTGAGTTTTAGAGCAACACATCCGTGTTCATTAAACCGAAGTCATACCTGAACCATACTCCGATTCCGGGCTGAAGCAACACGAGTCGCGGTGCCCGGTCCGCCAGTCATGCCTTTGGCAATCTTGTGAGCAGTAATATGCCTGTCGACACCCGCCACAGACCCGGAGATCGGCTATCTTGGAAACCTTCCAGCACTAGAAACCTTGATGAGACCGTGTCTGTGAGTTGTTGCACTGGACGCACCGATAGACTTTCGCAGAATCGTGTCGCATGTGAAGGCGGACTAGGTGCGGCCAATATGGCGATTCGTCGTTCCTCCACGCTGGAAAATGCCTGCCAGAGAGGTAAGACCTCCTCGTGATGGATGGTATGTCCCTGCTCCATAAGGAGACGGATGTCCTTCAGGGAGGCTGCAAGGCTTGGGGACTTGAGTACCGTTATATACGCTAGGAATGCAGGGAGCTGTCGTTGGAGAAGAGGAATGAAGCATTTGTCCAATAGATTACGAAAGGCGAAGCGTTGGGAGGTGAGGTCAAAAAAGTCCAGGAGATATCCAGCGTCGACAGCCTCGATGAAATGCACATGGCTGGGTGCGTCGAGGAATGTTGTTTGGATGGCAGCATAGAAGATGCACACGAGGCGGAACTCGTCAGAGGTGAGCAGCCGCGCTTTGCGGACACTGCGGCACGTCCTGGCAAGCGCGGCAACCGACCCCGATCGTAGAAGTGCGCTCCTGAACGCGGGAACCTCTTGAGAACTGTTGACTAGAAGACCGTGTAGCCCTTGCAGGCAGCGAACCGCAAATCGGTCAGAGGCATAGAGGGAGATTTCGTGGAGATGTGTGACAATGAGGCGCGCAAGATCATCCCAACTCCCACCAGCACCGTCCATCAAGTCTCGTAGTCGATTCGGCTCCAGATGACGATTTTCCTGCCCCATGATCATGGAGACATTAACCAGCTCGCGCGTAAGTTGTTTGGGCGTTGGTTGGCGAAGAAGCTCCTTCCAGACTCTGCCAATGATGATGTAGGCACCGTCAAGTTTGAAAAACGCGTTTACCTCGCTTGCTGAGGCGCAATAGAGTGTGTTTATCATCTCCATAACTTGCGCGTGCACGTCCCATGCCTGTTCCGCGTCCATGTCCTCCCGTAGAAACTCGGTGAGGTCTCCGACTAAGTTCATCCACCGCCTGAGCGGTTCCCACAGTTCTCCTGCCGCCTCTTTCGGGAGCACTTTCAACTTGTTCAACTGCCGTATCCCAACAAACGCCGTCATAGTCCGTGATAACTGGTTCTGGTAGTCTTCCACAGTGTATGCCTCCATCTGAGTTGGGGTGGGAAAATGTGCAAGATCGAGTGCGGCGATATAGACGGCAGGCAGACGCATGAGGTGTTGCCGCTGAAGCTTGGGGTCATCCAGGCTATCTGCCACAGTCAGGAGGTCGGGGTACGAGCCGTCAGCAGCAGCCAGGGCATGTTTCTGCGTTGGTAAGTTACGACCAGTCATTGAACACAGCTTACTCTGAGGGAAACAGGCAGCTTGAGGATGTTCGAGCGTTGTAATGCGGGATGCATGAGGGGTGGGGGAAAGAATGTCGATCTCTATCACGTGCGGAGACTCGGCCGAAAGCTACCCGACGCCACTTAACCAACAACCACACACAAACGAGAGTCTGGTTAGCCACCATGACACAGCCGTTTTCATATCTGGATCTGGTGCAGCAATGCGGCAATATGCGCGTGCGACACGCTTCGCCCATCCCCTCGGCTTTCGACAACGAAAAACTCGTTCCGTTTTTCCTCTCGGCAGCACCTTCAAGCCCAGCCATCGGCCTCCTACGCCCAGAAATTGTCCGTCTTCTTGACGAGGCCAACCAGCAATCCGGCCACAACATCGTGTTCGACGGGGTGCCCAGCGACAGCGACATCCCCGGACTAGGCGGCAAAAACGACCGAATCAGCTTCCACGCGTCGATCGATACGCCCGCCAAGCGGAGCGCGGTCATGAAGGCGCTATGCGAACGCTGGCGGGACACAGGCATCTATCCCGACATCATCGGGCCAGGCAAGTGGCGCGACGAGCGCTACCCAGTTTATCGCAACCCGTTTGGTCAGCACGACTACCCGGCTGCTGACGCTGGGGACAACGACGAGCTCAATTACGCTTTTGAGATGGAGCGCGCTGCATGTGCGCTGTTTGGAATCGTGACCTATGGCGTCCATCTCAGCATCTATCAAGAAGGAGTCGACCGGGCGTTGAAGGTGTGGGTTCCCACTCGGGCGAAAACTAAGTCGATGTGAGCTTTAAGCCCTATTTTCGATAACGACTGATGTGTCGTTCAGGTGGCCTGGCTATCTGGACAATACAGTTGCAGGAGGAATACCAGCCGGCATGCCTATTTTCGAAGCCCTGGTCAAAGAATGCATGGAAGAAGCCAGTCTTGAAGAAGACCTTGTCCGAGAACATGCGCGTGCGGTTGGGTGCATAAGCTACTACTTCAGGTGTCTATTTCCCTTCTTCGACGTTTACCTCATTGTCTAAGCGCTCACAGGACTTCAAAAGGCTGGCTCCAACCAGAGGTCGAATATCTCTACGATATTGCCATCCCACCGAACAGTGATGCGTCGCAATTCGAGCCGAAGCCGCTTGATGGCGAAGTCGAGCGTTTCGATGTCTGTCCTGACCACGTTCCTCGCTTTTTCTCGCTCACATTTGGTCGCAGTTTATGGACAAGAAAGATATCGATGTCGCCATGGGGGCTGGACGATTCAAAGCGAACTGCGCTGCGGGTAAGCCGTTTAACCAAAGCAGCATAAGTATGACCATCGTCAGTGCTTGTTGACTTGTTTGTTCGCCTTGGACATATAACTCCTGATAACGAGCCCGATTACATGAATATTATAACGGGACTGCATACGCGCTTTGACTACGACTTATGGACGGCTTGAGATGATGGAGCAACAACAGCGAAAGTAGAAGGGAGCATCTGAAGGTGCGTAGCGTGCTATGTCTGTCGCTATGTCTGACTCGGACGTCTTCAGGAAGGAAGAAAATAATGCATTTGCACTGTGTAGATAAAGTATAACATCGACGATTCGACTCAAGATCACTTAACGGTATTGATCAGGTTGTATTTGCCCATCGCTTATAGTTACATGCCTTTCAACTTCTCATGTGTACTTCAAGAACCACTCGACAGTCGACTTAAACGCGCCTTCCTTGCCCGCCTTGACCTTCGGGTCGCTCAAGTCGCCGCGCACGGCAAACCCGTGTCCACACCCGTCGAAAAACTCGCGCTTATACCCTGGGGCAAAGTCTCCGAGGATCTCGTCCGCCTTCTCTTGGGCTGCGGGTGGGAAGTAGTCGTCATGGCTGCAGCCGTTGATCAGCAGCGGGGCCTTCGCGGTGGACTTGTATTTCTGGACGCCACATCAGTCAGATATTCAGGTCCACAAGGACAGGCTGAACCTCGAGATCCGCGGGCACTTGGATGAGCGACGGGTGCGCAGTGGCGCCAACGGCGATCACGTTGTCGAACGCAAGATCGAACACGTAGCGACCGCCAAAGCAGTAACCAACCGCAGCGAAGGACGTGATTCCCTCAGCTTTGAGTGCGGTTATAACAGCGTCTAGCGCGGGCCGCGTATCGGCTGTGCCGTGCGAGCCGAACCATTTCATCAAGTCATACTCCTTCTGCAGGGATGTTAAACGTTGCCCTTGAAGGGAAGCTTAAGGCACTTACCCCAGGGCCCATAGCATCCGCCGGCACAGCGTCGCCATGGAGGTAGTCCGGCAAGATGGTCTTGAACCCATTTGCCGCGAAGTCGTCCACCAGGAGCTGGTTGTTCACGAAAGGGAGGCCAAAGATGTCGGAGAGGTACAAGACGACCTTGTCCTTGGGATAGTCAACGCTTGGCGTCGCGACGTAGCAGTCGATGCCCCCGATCTTCTCGATCTTGCCAGTCGGGGTGCCCTCGTGTGTTACACCTGGAATACAACAAACACTGATCAGCGGCACCGGCGTGGGATATAGCCTGAACGCACCTTTGACGCAATCCTTGCAAAAGCTCATGTTGGTCTATTGTCTGGTGCTGCTTCCTTGGTAGCCCAGCTACTTATAAGCAATTTCCAGTCCGCCTTGGTGCGGCGTCATTTAACCATTTCAGGTTACAACACGCTGATGGCACTAAGAGTTGGATCGCATCAATGTGTGATCGGCTGGATTTGCTAGAACTTCCCGAATTTCGCCGGAGACTGGCAAGCACAAGTGCTAAGTGGTCAAGTCGATGCGCAATTCGATGCAAAACTATCTTCCAGAGTAAGTAAACCAAACTTCGGAGCATGTGTGGCTTCAACTTGCAAGTGACTTTAGTAACCGCCTCGATTCCTCGCATGGCTCATATGGGTCAGTGTACTGGTTTTAGGTAGCGTAAGAACTACAGTATTGGTACATATTATGTTTTCGGTGTGGACCGGATGTGCAAGAAAACAAGCAATGACGACCTTTCTACCTGGTTCATGGCTCGTGACAGTCCCCCGTTGCATCTTCACTCATTCCACTCCTCACCCTTGACATGTCGACAAACGCCAGGCCGCTTCCTACCCCTAGCGTCCGGCTTCCACTGCTCCCCGAGTCGTATGTCGCGTCTCCACCATACGTGCCGCTCTCGAGCTCTTCCCCGCGCGAGTCGAGTTGGGCGAAGCGCTGGGAGGCAGCGAGCTGGCTGCGGATTAGAAGCAGGACGCGTGTGGTGAGGACGGAATGCAAGACACGCTGGAGGGATGCGAGCCAGTTGGCCATGTATTCCTACCGAAATAATTAGCAAATGGCGGATCCAAGTGGAAACTAGCGCACAGGCCCGAGAATGGGAACGAGGACGTTGGCGATTGAGATGGCTGATAGCGCAGGTCAGATATGAGGTCAAGACGTTGACATAGCGTCTCACCAAGAAGGTAGATGTAGAATAACATGCCTGTGAGCGTGGCTTCAGTGTTTTAGCCGGACATTGGATTGAAGACGCACCATCCTTATACAGCTGTGTTATCCAGCTGCGATGGAGACTTCGATTCCGTACTACGCTCATGGTAAGCTTTTCTCTCGTTTCATTGCAAAACACACAGTCGCGGTAGGCTCTAAGCGCAGTCAGGACGACCACCGCTGCTGGAATATGAGGATAATACAAGAAAGGCGAGCACACAGAGCTCACCTGTCTCACTGATCATAAGCAGGACATAGGCATAGATTATAATAGTTCCTGCTTGGACAAGATTGCATCCAACATTGGCCGTTGGTGTGTCTATTCGTCTGTCAGCACTAACTAGCTGAATAGCAGAGCACGCACAAATGAGGGTGGTTAATTCAAATTGGGTTATAATCAATCCGGGTATGACGGTAGCCTAGAGAGATTAGGTCCTTCTATACTGAGAATTCAATGGACTCGTACCACCCAGACAACGCACAGAATTATCATGACGGACCGACTTCGGCCCCAGATAGCGTAGGTGCGCAACATGAGGATGGCTGCAATTGCTCAGACTTGGAGGATTGACTAAAAGCCTCGTACCTTCGGAAATGCAGACTCCGATAAGAGACATCCCTGGAGAGAGAGATGAGTCAGAGAACTACCAGGACAAGCAAGAGGACTCACATCCAACAATTCTATTGCGGACAAGACACGCCTGGATGCATCCAGTCAAGCAGCTAGTACCAAAGACGAACAGCGCAAACCTCTGGCGACACATGCTGAAATCGTGCTGTATTGTTTTCAGCTTCTAACCATTCGAGAGTCAGACGGCGCACTAGTCGTTGATATCCAGACGTCGACAAACGGGAGGTAGCGGTTGACAAGGAAGATGACGGTCCCTATCGATCGCGGGTGGGACCAAATAGCTGCGACCTGCCGTCCGTAAGAAACGTGAAGAAGGAAAGTTAAAGAACACACTTCGCGGTGGAGGGTGAGCAGCCAGTCGTAGACCTGCCGTATACTTCTAGCGCGGAACGAGGAAGGCGGAAGGGTCTCACAAGAATGGTGCAGCAGGCGACCAGCGTGCTTGGAATCAAACGGACTTTGAGGACCTGCGAGTGGGTGTCAGCGAAAGTTACTGCAGCAGAAGACAGGCATACCTCAGTCTCGTCGTCCATGGCCATGAGCGCTGGGGGTAAAGAAAAGGCCGAGAAGCGCGCATGATGGATGCGGCGGAGAAAGGGAGGGTGGGGCAAATTTGGCGATGACGTGCGAATCAGTGGGTAAGATCAGAACGGCAATTGCGGGAGAAGCGCTCCGGGAAGGACATTGCAACGCCGAAATGAGGGGGTTGCATGCAGCATGCGGGATGGCGTGAACGCAAGGAGTAAAAGTGGATTTGTGTGCCTAGGAGTGATCCTACGGGCCTTTCGGTCCAACGCAGAGGTTTTTCCTTCCTTCTACATGTTCAGAGCAGCCAATGCAGGAAAACTAAGTATATACGGACTGGCACCGACGCAATCTTTCTGTCGATAATTAAAAATTGGAATGACGCGCGCACGTTGACACTGACTGGCAGACAGGCGCCTCAGAATCGAAGATGGAACTTGAAGCCTTGACGAGTGGCGCTAGATTCGTCGCTCGCGTCGGCGGCAACTTGGCGCATCAACGTGGCGGCGAGAAACAGAAAAAAGAAAACCATTGATGGCGGGAATATGATGTGATATAATTTACATAAAGCAAATTGCAAGATGGCAACATCCAGTACCTGGTCGATTGGTACTTTGATGATGTCGGCTACTTCAGTCACGTAAGAATACGTTCGGCCTCCGCTTGATCCTCATCAACTTCATCAAGACTTGCCGTTGGTGGCTGCTGTCACGCTTTCCCTCCAAGCCAGCATCACTAGAGTCTCGGCAGCTGTGCCGTGCCTTAGCCCTTGCGTTGCCGCAGGCTCAGCAGCAACCACCAAGGTAAAAGCCATCTTGCAATTGGACACACGCAGCTATACAAAGCTCAGGCTCATGCTTAGGGCTCCAACTGTTTCCGTGTACAAACATTTGTACACGGTTAAAACCGTTTTTATTTTCATTTTATTTACCACCTCTAGTAAACAGTAAACAAATGAAAAGTACACGGTATACATAGTTATTTTTGATGAGCTGACCCGAATAGTCCGATCATGCGGCCATCAGGAAGTCGAGGTGACAGCATGATGCCGTATGCTGACGCGTAGCCTCCTGCCTACATGGTCGGCGAGCGCAGCTTATCCTGCTAGGCGACTCCGCTGCTGCGCGGCCCCCCTACGTGGCACATACGTGTCGTCCCACGTTAAAACGCGCGACAGGCTTGGTGTCTTGCCCATGGAATCATCTGGCAAGCGTCCACGAAACCCAGCCCCTCGGGTGCTCGACACTGCCAATGGTGAAGCGCCAAGTGCCGCCCACACCTAAACTTATCGCTGGTGCGCTATTAATTGGCATTGTTCTTGTCTGAGCCTGATGATATCTACCTAGCAAAAACCATTCAAGATACCGTGAAACGCATCGTGCTGCTTTCGCAAAACCTTCCTTCGTCTATCCCAGAGGCTTCGGAGACCGACGACATCTATCGCATTATCACGAAGGTCAAGAGTGCGGACAACACCATTGCCTCAAACTTCAACCGCCGCTTCGACGCACTGTATGGCGAGGACTGCCGCAACGAAGAAGGAAGGCTGGTCAACGTTCGTCGGGGCAAATATGGGATGGACTGTGTGGTCAAATACCTCAGCTCTACGCGGTGGGATGTGCCAGGAATCATGCCGGACATCGTCCTGCTTAAACTGGAACGACTAGCCACGGAGTTGGCCCACCTCTCGTGTGACGACTTCACTACTGTGGCCACTATTAACCTCCCTCCGACAGTGCTTTCGCCACGTCTGAACCATCGTCGGATGTAGTCCAACCGCAAGCAACAACAAAAACAGGGCCTCCAAACGCTCGGAATTCTGGCACAAAAGCCAACCCCACCACTGTCTTATCCAGCGACGAAGACTCCGACTTCCAGCCTGGCCGACAACAACGCCTATCGGAGGAGGATGGGGATGATGATCTTGAAGAGTCGGCCATGGGTGAAGCTCAGGTATGTCTTGTGGACTGTCTGCTCAGGATATAACGGCACATTTTCAGCCACGGAAGCGCAAGGCGATTGCCATTGACGGGAAGCGGGCGGATAAGAACAAAAAGCGCAAGAAGCGCACGAAGAAGGTGTGTTTACACATCTCATAACTTATCTCGATGCTTACAGATTGTAGAGTGCCGAGGGGAACTCAGAGAAAGTTCCACAAATCGACGTTATTGATGTCGATGACTCCACAGAGGCTGAATCAGACGCGACTCCCCGCAAAAGCGGGAAGAGGGGACCAAAAAGCAAGTCGCGCGAGCACTTTACCGCCCCAGTTGCGGTCACTTATGATGGAGAACGACGCTGGGAGTTCCATTGCTTACACGCGGGTTGTGCAACGTGCGTCCAATATCGTTTCTTTTTTATACTCTCATGTGTGTGTCCAGGTCGAAGATACATGGACTACTCGATCCATGGCATTCACCTTTTCCGGAACCATCGCATCGTTCATAACGCCGAACTGGGAGCTGGTCGAGCGCGTTATTGGGTTTCAGTGTATTCAAGATAAGGAGAACACTGGGGAGTATGCAGCCGCGGGGATGGCCCAGCGGATGTTGGATCTCGGAATCTTAGAAAAGATAAGTCTCACTCGCAACTTCCCACTAGGATAATCAGCTCACCGACCATTTTACATGTCCGCAATCACGCTAGACAATGCGTCCGTCAATGACGTCCTCTGTCGCTCGCTTGCACGCACCCTACAGACCAAGTTCGACTACCAATTCAACCCCGACAACTCTCAGATACGGTGCCTCGCTCATGTCGTTAACTTGGTTGTGCAAAAGATGCTTGCGGCGCTGGATGAGGAGGAGGACCCGGATGCGGGTACTGATAGATACTTAGAAAGTAAACAGTTACCTATTCACTACAACCCTGACGAGGACGCCGACCTCTTAGCACTCGAAGCGGAGGATTCACCCGAGCACTGTGGGGTGACTGTTGACGACGGAGACATGGAGACTGATATCCTAGCCGCAAAAAAAGACGAGTTATCCAAATTGAGCATGGTGAAGAAGGTAATTGTATGCTTGTGTCTGAATTGCTATTTACTAACATACATTCTTTTCTAGTTTCGACTTACCTGTATCAAGATTTGCTCTTCGCCCCAACGTCGACAGCGGTTTCGGGCAATCGCTGAGGCCGAATATCACGACAAAGTTCATGTCACAAAAAAAAACACAGAAGGTCGAAAAATCGCATCGCTCATGCCAATCTGCGACGTAAAACATCGGTGGAACTATATGCAAGTCAGTATTTCACGGGGGGAATTGCTTCAATCAGTTTGTCATCATCTTGCTGTTATTTCTCAGTGCTCATATCATGACTTTGTAGGCTATCGAAAAGTGGCTGTTTGAGCGCCCGGAGCTACGTCCACTCCTCCTAGGAGATGACGAATGGGGAATGCTGAAAGCTCTGGGAACGGTCTTGGAGGTAAGTTTTCCGTGATGAAAATTCCAACAGTTACTAATTTCTTTCGGCGTGGGCCAGGTTTTCACTCAAGTCACCTTGCAAATGTCTCACTCTTCAACGCCGACACTACCCTGGGTCCTTCCTCTTTACGAAGAAATGCTTGATCACCTCAAAACTGCTCGTGACGATCTGGAACTTCCCTTCGCAATCCGAACGGCTGCATCGGCAGGTTTGCTGAAACTTCAGCAATACTACGATCTTGCTCAAAAATCACAATTCAACATCATTGCAACATGTTTGTTCCGTGACTACTGTGCCAGTCGTTCGCTAACAACAATCTAGTGTTGCACCCTGCACTTGGCCTGGCCTGGTTTACGGGTATGGATCGTAAAGACGCTGCCGCAAACACACCAGCAGGGCACCCGACCACCACGGTGACTCCGGATGCGGCTCCAGATGGGACTTCCTCGACTACTAGTACTCCGCCACTTGTAGAAGGTGATCGCGAGCGCAAAGCGAAAATCCTATTCCAGCATGTCTTCGAGTCATACAAGAAGCGATACGAGGTTAAGAGGACACCATCTGAGCCAGTACAACCTACTTCTGGGTCCCGCACATCAAGCTCTATCATGGATCGGGTCTGCGACTTCGCTGACATTGAGCCCACAGCGCCGAGCAGAGAACTTGACGAGGCAGAACGCTTCTTAGCGGCATTTCGACTACATGGCCGTGGAAAGGATAAGTTGAAGCCATTAGATTGGTGGAAGGTGAGCCGCACACCATCTATCTGAACTGCTCATGTCAGGCTTTCATAGGATTTTGGACATCATTACCCCGTTGTATCATGGATGGCGCGTGACTTTCTTGCCATCCCCGGTACGAGTGTGTCGGTCGAACGACTATTCTCAAAGTCCCGCCATCTATGCCATGAAGTCCGCGGATCGATGAAAGCAGAGACAATCATGGAAGCGATGCTCACAAAGATGTGGATCAAGGCTGGCTTTCTCTCTTTGTAGTTGTGATTTTTCTTTCTTTTTTTGAAAATATAATAACTATTTTTTACTGTTTTTACACGGTTATAACTGTTTATAAACGGTTTTCAACCCTTTTCATGTAGTTTACCCAAGATACTAAAGGAAAACTAAATAATTGGAGCCCTACTCATGCTATGGCGAGGCCAACCCTTACTCCAAGCAGTCGGCCCACTGCTGTCTGCGGCGAGTCGCAGTGTTACTAAGTATCCAGCGTGCCTCATATGGCCTGCCTATGCCCCAAGATACGCCGCGCGGGACAGGAAACCCGCCCGGCGGAGCGCGCGCCGCGCACGGGCGGACCGTGTCCAGCGTTTGAACAGGCTGCGCTGATATGCGTGTCGGCAGGACCACAATGATCAGGTAGGAACCTTATATTAATGTGCCAGAGTCGACCGCTCGACGCAGAGCTGAACTTGAATCAAATTGGTGCCGGGATTCTCGGCGACGGGCTGTGTGTGACACTTCAAGTGACCACCAAGTGATACCGCCGAACATCATCACTGCGGCGCCGGCAACTCCTTCGGCGCCGCAGCAGATCTAAGATTGACAGCATCATCAAAGTACCAATCGACTTACGACTCTGGCAACATCCGCAAAACTGCTGCACTCGAGAACTCTAATAGCGGGAACTCTGCGCAGCGGAAATGGATTTTTTGCTACTAGTAGAGCATACTTTAAAATCGGCCAATTAAATGCCATGTAGATACCGATTACTCGGATATGAGCCTGAGTCACGGTGCATCCCGCGTGAATCTTTCACTGGGAGTGGCCTGCACCCAGCTCAGGCCTCGCAATAGAAGATAATATCTTCAAATTTGGGGCAAGTCTCCTTGATTCGGCGCCTTTCTTCTTCACTGAGACCCATTGGCTTAGTGGCGAGAACGTTAGCTTCGAGGGCGAAATAAGGATCATATTCTACATGAACAGCGATGAGATTTTCGAAGGCCGGGACTGCGTTTATAAGGGCGGTTCGAAAAACTTTCTGTGAGAGAAAAGGCATTAGAATATTGGAGTATTCGCCGGAATGTAACGCACACGATCCTCTGGTTCCATTCCGAAATGGTCAATGGTGAGTTCTTTGACATACGGGGCACTTTGGGCGATTTCAAGAGGCTCGATGATATTCCATTCTCCCCGAATTTTGAGGACTCCTAGTGCTGCGCTTCCTTGGGCTAGGCTCCGCAGAAACGCAAACACTTGCCATCGCTGCACATTTCCTGCATCTCGCGGTTCTATCGGCAGGTGTATTATCGCATGTTCAGTCTTGGCCTGTGGTAGTAACAATGTAGCGAGATTAAACGGGCCATAGAAGAAGCGCAAATTGGGTACCAGGGGTCCGCTGGTGAGATCGCTCGGCAGGGTAAACTGGAAAGAATCAGAATAGTCACTAACATGAACAATGAGATCTACCACTGCCTGACGGGCGGCGAGAAACTTCGCGATGTCTGGGAAAGAGAGACATTCCAACTTATTCAATAATGGCAATGCACCTTGGTATGCTTTTAGAGGAATATCACGGGGTAGAGGACCAAACTTTGAATGCAATTGTCGAAGATTGCTCAGTTTCAAGAGGGCCTTTCCGTATCCTCGAAGGCGCCTTTGTCTCTCATGGCTTCGAGTGCCAGACTCCTCTATGAAGTCCCTGTTCCAAGTGAAATTGGTGACCGGCGGCGATATGAAAGGAATACTTACAGCGCGAGATCTTGCACACATGTGCGGAGTTGTGGTCGTTTCTTAAGCGTGTTGAAGAAAATTCGGAGGCTGCCTTCGCTCGTGATCATTGGCCATTTATACAGATACTCTGTGGCGATGTCTGCCAGAAGGATGGACACCAGGCACAGGGTGGCAAGTGCAGATTGAGGAAGCCAACTAACAATCAACGAAATGAGCTCCGTCGGAAGTTTGAGAAGTTGAGAGTGGCATTGACGGTTGAGGTCCGATGATGCCATTGTGTAGATGTGTGATAGAGGCGGTTGGAAGTAGCGAGTGGAGACTGGACCGACTGGTAAGCTCCGCCTTTTATAGAGCAGAGGGCAATTGTTCGTCCAAGCGCCACAAGTTCAAAGCAAATAATCGGTTTAGCTTTGTTGGCGCATTGTCTGGAGAGAATTTGAGGTCGTATAGATTGGCCAGACTTCGAGTTTTGCGTGGAAAGCTCATGGCGGACTTGGTTGCAGAAGGCTCCTGGTGAGAGCTACAGCCCATTGATTCAAGAAGTGTGTAAGGGAGTTTAGCTAGTATGTAGCTTGGTTCAGCGTAAGTAGTCGCGCTTTGATACATGGGGGCGCACTGAAACGATCGATGTTGGTCACGCAGCTTACCATATCGTTCGTCACCCTTCTTCCTCCTTCCACTCATCGTCGTATTGTCGTCCGCCAAAACCAGTCCGCTTCTGCTCTAGCGATGGTTTAGCCTCCCCTCAACCCACACAACGGTTCCGGAAGGGGAAGAATGGGCACTGGGGCTATGAGGCAGAAGCGCCGCCCACGTTCATAGCGCGTCTTCACGTGCGAGGCAAGACAAGGTAGGGGAGCACGTTGGTGCCTGTCCTCGTCCATGCTGACGACCGTTCATAGATGCCTGTGTCATTTTGAAGGCCGAGGATATCGATAAGGCTCAAAACGTATCCGATTGACAAACGAGGAATCCCAAGACGGTCCGAATTGGGCTTGGGTCAATACATAAAGCTCAGGATCACCGTATCGAAGTCCTGTTGGATTATCGAGACCTCCTTCACCCTCCGTTCTTCCACCGGATCGCAATGGCCTCTCTTCTCCCGCTTCACAATTCTTCTGGCTCTTTCAATTTTTCGAAAGACCTGACGGAGCGAGGGGACCGTCTCCGTGTCGCAATAATCGCCGGCAAGTACCTTATTCATCTCCCCGAACTACCATTTGACGCGTTTCACAGAGAACTTTCTGCCCAAGGTCGATGGGTCGACGACGACGATTGCGAGTTTGCTTCAGCAGCTGAAGCGAAATCATCTGGGGGTGCAGGCCATGCTGTTCGGGCCAGAGAGTGGTATGGTGTGTCTATACCCAGACTGTCTTTTCAGCCTGGGTTGACAGCTCGTTAGAAGACATACCATGATACTCCCTTGTTTGGCACTCCAGGCCTTCCTCTGCACGTCTATCCGGGCCTCAAGATCAACTTCATTACACCTTCACTCATCCGCACATTGCGCGAATTCGACCCACATGTTATTCACCTTGTAGACCCAATTTGGCTCGGGGTACAAGCGTTGGCAGCCATTGCCCTTCTATTTCCGACCGTACCAGTTGTTACCAGTCACCACACGAATTTACCGACATATGCGGACGTCTTTGGCTATCCATATTTCAAATATAGAACCTGGGGTATTCAGGGTGAGTCTTTTTCGTCAGCGTCAGAAACTTGCTGAGAAAAGGCAGCTTATCTCCATTCATTTGCAAGGTGTACATTGGTCCCTAGCGCAAGCACTGCGGGACTGTTGGCAGAACGCAGGTTTAAGAATATCAGAGTCATCTCGCGTGGAGTTGATTTGACCATTTTCGATGTGCGTTTATTGCCACCTTTTCTTCGATTTTCACAGCTGACATCCTACTTCGATAGCCTTCTTTGCGCTCTGAATCCATGCGCCAAGCGTGGTTTGCAGCAGCCTCCTCATTTCCCCCATCCCATATCCCTCCAGTATCCGTCCGATCTAATTCGTCAATATTCAGCTCCTCCACATTTTCTTCAGCAGACCAAGTCGTTGTCCTTTCCGTCGGACGACTATCGCCGGAGAAAAACCTCACCCTCATCATCAATTCCATCGCTACTCTCCCGCCATCGATTGCCTCTCGAGTTACATTGGTTTTCGTTGGAGATGGACCTTCGCGGGTCAGTCTTCACTCACAATGTGCTGCCAAATCGATAAGGGCTGTCTTTACCGGACACCTCTCTGGCCACGCTCTTGGTACTGCATTCGCCAGCGGGGACATAATGTGTGCCCCAAGCATCACAGAAACGTTTGGCCAAACCACGCTCCAAGGCATGGCTGCTGGTCTTCCTGTTGTTGGTCTTCTGGCAGAGGGTACAGCGGATTTGGTTCAGCATGGGCGAACTGGGCTGTTATTGGATGTGCTTGAAGCCGCAGGGGCTTGTGCTCCCTGGAGTCCTTTGATGCCCCCGAAACCTGGAGCGAGGGTTGTTGGGTGGGAAGAAGCCGCACCGCTTCTTGGAGACGATGTATCAAGCGAACGAGCAAATGTCATTGCTCGATTTGCGTGTCTACTCGAAGTGCTCGTTGAAGATTCGGAGAGGCGACGACAAATGGGGCGAGAAGCGGCAAAGTCTGCGAGGCAGACATGGTATGAATGGGAGGCTTGTGCGGGGAGGGTGGTTGCTGCCTATCGCGAAGCTGTGGGGGTTTCTGCATCCATTGTTTCGGATGGGAAAGCAAAAGCCCTAACTCCATCACCAGACGTCCGGAATGTATCATCTCCTGCAGCCCTTGGCAGCACGACACTCGTTTTACGCCGTCCCGCAACCATTCATTGGTCATTACCACCCACAATCCAGTTCCTTGTCGACGGAGCTGTTGTACTCCATGCTCTCGGCCTCGCGCTCACCAGTCACTTGATGTATATGGTGCCCTCACGCCGCGATTTGAGTGAGCGTATCAGGTGGAGGACAACGACGACACGACATTGATATGATTTGTACGGCTACTTAGAATTGTAAGGCAACACAAAGTTGTCATCGATGATTGTAGTGTTACTTAAATAAGTAATGTGCTGGTATATATGTGCAGATGTGTAGCAACTTGACCGAAACTCATTTCGCGTTCGTTGAGGAATTGATGGTCACGTGCACTCGTCACCTTGCTTATCACGGCCTAATTTGCCTACATAGGATTTCTTTCCCGCCTTTTCAAGAATCTGTGTTGCTTCCCACCACATCTCAAGTAGAACAAGTTCGTCAATTGTTGGGTTCCAAGCATGAGGCATCCTTCGCCCTCGCCGCCAGCATTCGCGACCAGTGCGGAAGAGCTACACTATGACTTCACTAATATCTTCAACAACTTGCTGCTGCGGAGACGATGAGATGGACGAATCCCGCGCGAATATTGCTCAAGTTCCGCGCCTTCAAGCGCAACGGACTACACATGGGGGACAGCTTCCCAGAGCTTCCCATATTCAGAGCGGAACGCCAAAGGCTTGAAGAGCGGGACCATCTTGTGCACGAGCTCTCTTCAATCGCACATCTGGAGACTTCGGACTTGCTGATTTACTTCTCATGCATATGCACATATCTGAGCCTGAGCGGTACTCGATGCCAGTGTCTGAGACTCTGAGCAGGAGGTCAACCACTGATGGAAGCCATCCGGCAACAGCGAACGGGACCGCAGACTCAATACGTCTCCGGATCCTCTTGAAGCTCTTTCGCTGTTCTGGCTCGCCCTTGATGCCCAAGTCGAGATCCACGGCGCTATTCAACTAGTGGACGACAATGAGAATGGCCAAACTGGGGACGAAGACAACCCAAACGTGGGCTTCCAAGTTATGCGTCTACATCTGAAAGACAAAAAGTACATGCGCAGCGATATAATGCCTCACCCGTCATGCCCGTGTCAACTAAAATATCCATGTCTTCCTCCCTATTCACAAACTGCCCGTTCCCGTCGCGAAACCCATCGGTTGGCCGTGCAGCCACGAGCCGGAGCCGCAACCCTGCATTGAGGGCAAGCGTACGAAACTCCTCTACAATGAGCGGGCTGACGAGCTGAAGGTGACGCGCCAGATATTCCGCACTTTGGGCAGCAGGATAGTGGTCAGGCGGCGAGGCTGGTGGGGTTACAACCGACGGGCGGGCTTGCACAGTCAGTGCAACCTTTTCCAAGGCCGAATTCGTGACCTGAACACGCTTTTTGAAGGCTTCGAGCAGGGACGGAAGAGCGTCAGGGTCGTCATCCATCCACGCGCGAAACACAAATGTTCGGAGGTGCGCAAGGCATCCGGGATCGCTGAGGATGGGGACCATGGTTGGGAGGCCAAGAGGAAGGCCGCGGTCAAAATTGAGGGAGAGGTACGTCAGCGCAGGAAGTTGCTGCAGCAGCTGGTATAGAGTATCTGGTATTCCTCCCGCCGCTTCTTCATTCAGCGTCAATGACTCCAAAGTGTCTCCACACGAAGATCTCGAGACAAGCTCCCGAACTACGTCGAACGGGTCGGGACCTTGGCGCACGACACCCTGGAGATGAAGATGTGTCAAGGCAGGAAGGGAAAGTACTGCGAGAAGCGCTTGATTTGTGAGTTGAAGATATCGCAGCAACGGGAGTCGGTGAACTGGCATAGCCCTGGGAGAGCTGCCTGGGATACTCCAGCGATATGTGAACTTCTGTAGAGAGACGCAGGGGAGAAGAACAACAACACCGTCATCAGCCGTCCAGCCGGAACATTGCAGTGAGGAGAGTTGACTCCAGGGAAACCCCAATGGTCCAAGGGCCGGGCGAGGCATGTAGGGGAGATTCAAGTGTCTGAGCACAGGAAAGCTTTGCTCAGGTGTAAGCCAGGAACCAGTGGATTGCAGGCTCTGATTTGGGGAATTGAAACCAGCGGCCACCGATGCGTTGTTCAATGTGAGCTTGGTCAGATTCGTGAAAACATGGTCGGACTGAGTGAGCATTGACTCAGGCAGTACGATGGCAGGAAAATCTAAGGCTATATCTCCCCATTGTTGCACGTGCTGTAGCAGCAAAGAAACGACCTCGAGCGCTACATCTTCTCGATGTGGGCTGATGTAAACTTCATATCGCAGTGTCTGCTTGCCGACTCGTGAGAGCCAGAGCTCGAGCAGTTGTATATTTTTGATGCCCCAGCTTGCCGATCGTCTTCGCTGCCCCACAGAGGAGCGCACAGGCGGGGCGCCAAAGCAGCATGTCGCCCATAAGGATGGTGTGTCGATGGTGACTTCTCGCCATATATGGCAAATTTGCGCGAGAAGTAGTGGCGCTTGGCGTAAAGATGGCACTGGGCACTGAAAAAGTGTTTCTCCAAAGATTAGTTGAAGAGTTTCTGGCGCCAGGTCAGAAATGGACATGATGGTCCTCCGTAAAGAAGTATGTGATTTGTATCAATAGCGATCACCGTGGTATGAGAACATTTTTTTCAGTCGTCTCTTCGAGCCAAAGTAAAAATTTGAAAAGGGTGCGTTCATTGGAAGAATCCTAGGCATGATACATCGCAATCGTATCTGCGAGATACTTCAATAGTGCCTCTGCTCCAAGGACAGGCCTCCAGCCCATGCCTTTGCCCCGGGCAGAGATGGCCATGCCATTGTCTCCAAAGAATGCTTGCAAGCTGACCTGTGTAATGAAGTTAATCTCGGTAGCATCATATAACACTTGACTAACAGCACCGGGCAAGTAGGTATCGAGTTCTTCTTGCGTAAGAGGCTTACGCGGGCCCGTGTGCGCCTCGAGAACCTCTACGATGCGAGAGAATTTGATTGAGTCGCCGGTTACGAAATAGTAGCCCTCGCGGCCATGCGATGCCTGCCCTGCTTGTATAGCATCGTAGAGGAGAACAATGAGGTCGGCAGCTGAGAGGAGAGGTTTTCGTGTCAGTTCTAGAAGGCAAAAATGATAAATGAGCTCACTCTCATTGATATCAACAATTGCAATCATGTTCTCGCCCGCACCGACGATAGCAGCAGCACTGCGGGCAAACGACGCGCGAAAGAGTATCTGCCAGGCAAAGTTGGATGTGTTCTGTAGGCCGTGGTCCGCAAGAATGCCACCCGGAATGCCAAAGAAAGCACCAGGGACCACGATGTGGGTTTGTGCATATCCGTCTGCATCCGCCGCGACGATAGCGAGGTCAACGTTACGGTGGTTTTGCGTTGGTGGTAGGGTTTCGATATCAGGGATGTCGAGGTCGTTATATACTTTGGTGGAGGAGAAAGCGCCTTTTGCTTGGTCTCCTAGACACCCTGTGCCTGACTTTGAACAATTAACGATTCTGACGGAGGAAGATTTGCAGCCATTGCTACCATATGAATAAGGACTGGCTTGATTCCAGTTTCCTCGAAGCGTGCCTTCATTCCGCGCAGGATAGATTCCATCGCCGACAGGTTATCACAGTCTGCCTACCAACGCAGTTCAGTTAGACGCAACAACCGAGCAGACATTTTCACTGACCATCGACACAACCTCATCTGCATCAGCTACAAGCTTCTCGACCAGCGCAGCGTCGTCATGGCTCCCTTTGACGACCACGAATTCGTTCTTGACGTTCCGAGAGTCCAGTGTCTGGAACTTCTGCACCTTATCGGGAGAGCGGACGAGCGCCGTAATCCGTGCGTCAAGATCAGTCCGCTCCAAAAAGCGAGACAAAACCACGCCGCCGACATACCCTGGGGTACATTAAGAACCTGCAATTCGCAAAGGACAATGGGTTTACCTGTGCCACCGATAAACAGAATGTTCTTCATTTTATCACAAGTATTTCGAAGGCGGGGGCTGTTCAAGGAGTGGGAGCGATAGCGGTCCAAATGCAGGACCAAGTGGCTTTATAGTGGAGGTGCAAGACCGGATTAGAATTGCATTCGCAAGAGACTGTCAGCGTCTGTCAGCAAGAAGCTTAGCGTGCTAGTTATATACAGAGCGGGGCTTACTCACCTGTCCCTCGAGAAACGTTCACTGAACCTGTTACCCAATCCAACTGGGCTCAATCTGCTTGCAAAGCATCGCGACCCACTTGTTTCCGACGCTGAGTCATTGGCAGGACCTGCTCGTCCCCAAGTTAGAAGGGGGGGCAGCGTCTAATGGACGAGTAGCTGCTTGTGGCGAGCGGATTTGAAGCGGGGGTATGTGCACAATTTCAAGCTTGTCGTGGGCAAAAAAGAAGAACGCCGTGGGTCGCGCAGGTCGCCGAGTTGTTAAAGCGGAGGGGCGAGTGCATGAATCCACCCGGGTCCTCCGGGAACTGCCGTGGCGAAATCAAGAAAAGGCGTAGTTCAAAGCGTAGTTGACAAGAGAAAACGACCATGTCACGGGCGGGTCACATTGACTTGGATATACTTACTTATAATTACCGGTAAAGAGACGAAACCAATATTGTTGTAATGCAAAGGGTATGCAACACTACAGTAACAGATGAGCGACCAGTACAAGCCGTAATGACATATGCAAGATATAATGTATTGAATTGTATTCTTTGGCAGGGAAAGGGAAGGAAGCGTAGGACTCGGAGGAAAGGAAGCCATTGAGTATCTGGTTCCAGTTGTTGGTGCAACGTATATAAGGCTGCCGTTCTGAACGACGTTCGAGACGACGGTCCGTCAGATGTGATGCCCCAAAATGGCCTTCATTTGACCGTTCCCATCTCCAATTGATAAAAGAAAAAAGTCGATTGGTCCACTGGTAATGGGCCTCGGGCACATCGAGCATACGCGACAAAAATCTCCTTGTCGTTCGGGCTCCGCACGACTGTGCTTGGGGGAGAGTAAGCACAGCCATTGCACTGCTGGCGGGCGATTCGTTTTCCGTGGAGGAACGAGCAGGTGGAGGGTGTGGAATGGCGATCCTATATCGAGATTTCGGGGCTAATTTCGGCTGCCATTTGGGTTATGGGACGCGGATACAAGTGCAATTTGCGGACACGTCCAACATCAAGGTTTCAACCCAAGTTAACGTTGAGCGAAATGAGCAAGGACCTAGAATGCAATAATATTTGCATTGCCTATATTCCGCTCCGATGGCCAAGACGCGCCAATGGCACGGAGCGGAGGGAGAGGAAGAGCGATTGATCATGAATTGGAGGTTTCTGGATGTGGAGAATGTGTTTTGGGAACTGTGGCTTGTGAGACGTATCCGCGTTCGTGAGGAAAGTCGGCAACGATCAACTTCAAGTCGGGTTGTTATGTTCAAATAGAGTCGCCACCTCTGCAAGAGGGAGGCTTGTTGCTTGAAGGAGAAGATGCTACGTGGTCCGGAAGAGTGACGGATTTTTGGAGGAAAGAACTCATGAAAGTGGTGAGCTCGAGGGAAGAGGCTTGCGGAGACAATGGCATGAAAGAGGTCACAGGTGAAGGACTGAGGTGGATAGTTGAAAGCCTATCATAATTCAGTCACAGCTTTTCACAAGGAACATGCGAGCGAGGCATACCGAGCAATGTAGCAAAGAGCGCGATATCAAGCTGCTGGGATTCTTTCGCTGGGGAACGATGACCTTAAAAGTCCCAGAACAGCGGTGTTGAGAAAGCCCTTAAATTTGGACGTCCATTCTTTTCTTCCTTCCCGAGAGCCAGTGTTGCGATTTTCTTGGTCTGCATGCATTGAGGACAAGTTCAACCACGAGGAGCTTTATTCGAAAGGCTAGCCAGGTAGCCGGCTTCAGCAGGCAACTCTTCTAAAGCCATCGTGAGTATACGACGACGAGTCCAAGTCAAGTCGGACGTACCATCCTGGTTTGTCCGCAAACACGGTATCCAGCGCCCACTCGTATGGTTCTGCTGGTCCACCCCAGATTGTTGGGTCCGAAATGACAAAATTAAAAGAGGGGAGTGAGGCGACAGCAGAGCGACGCTCGTTTGTTTAACGCGGCTCTACGTGCAGTTAGAAGAGCACTAGCTGTTTATGACACATGGCAAATTTCGATGGATGGCGCGAAAAGGACATTGGAGTAGCTGGAAGAAACAGATTTAGGGGGAAGGCAGAAGGCAAATGTCGACCATGCGCACCAAACTCGTCTGACCAGCAGCATGGTCGCTTGGAAAAGCGTCGCATGATGGCCTCATCTTTGAAAATAGCTCGGTAGAGCTGTGTGGCTGGCTGGCTAGGCATCCCGAGTTGGATGAGATCGAAAGATAGACTAAGCGTGACAACTCATGCATGATCAGTTACAGATGTTATCAAGTAGCTATGTTGCTCTCCCCTCACCAAGCCAGTTCGAAAGACGGCACCCTCATGTGCATGAGTAAATTGAAATTAAAATTGAATATGAGTATTCTTTCTTCCCATTTCCACTGGCAAACACTTGCTATATAAGAACTGAGTGTACCTCCGAATCCATCATGATGTTGCTATCTCAGCCCGGAACCTTTGCGGCCAGCCATCCACTAAAACGACTTCCGTTCTTTAGAGTCTTTACCCTAAGGGACAGAACATGACGACGAGGGCATGTCTCCAGAGTCGAAGCGATTGCCAATAAGTATGAATACCGAGAGACCTGGGATGTAAATTTGTACGTTTTCAATGCTGAGTATGGGTCGCGATAACCGGTAGAGTCGGAGGCAGTTAGCACAGTACACTTGATTCTTTCGATGACGTCTCCAATTGCAGGCCGGCACCCCCAGAAAGCAGTGAGCATCCTAACATAGAGTAGTACTTCTGGGAGCCGCGTTGTTGAAACTTGACCGTCGACGTCGACGTCGCTGAACTATGGGGCCGATGCTGTTTATAGCGAGAGGATTACTTATTGTGTGTACAGTAACCGTGCATGTCGCGAGACCTCCCAAGAAGTGAGTATTGAGAAGCCTGTCCTGGGCTTCTCAGTCTTCTTCAGTCCCACAGCGATCCTCTATGAACGGAGGCATTCCCCCGCACGCGATTGGTGTGCCTCGGCGGAAACAGCGATCCTGTGCCTCCCGTCCATCGCAACGGCTTGTCGCTGGGCCCGTGAAACGGGGCACATGGACGCAATGTGGAGCATGTGCGGGGAAAGGCCGAACAGATCGCTGCCCGGTGCCTTGGCTTCCTTTTGCTGCCCGGAGCTTACCCACGCAGCCATTGCAAACTGGTGGGAAAAGACCACAAATACCGTATGCGTTGCCGGGTGCTGGCCGAGCCGTTTCAGTTGAGTAAGGTGCTTCGTGGAGCATGCAGGAATGTTGCACGGGACGGTGGCAGGAAGATGGGTATCAGCGCGGGGGTGGACGCTTGAAGAGTGGGGGTTTCGCGGGGAACGGGGCGTCAGGCACGGTCTGCGGGGGGTGGTGGAAGAGCTTGGATTCGGAGGTCTTGCCGACACCACGTGCATCGCGTGTCAAATGCGCATCAGCCATCAGCCCATCACCGACTCGCGTCTCGCTTGCCTGACGTCGTCACCCCGCAAGGTCAGCTGGCCAACTTCTGTGTGTCATGATGCGCGCCTGTTGCTGGGTATAAGGTGGAGCCCGGCAGCAGCAAACGACCGTGCTTGCTTCCCTCCTCTACGACACGATGAGGTTCGAGCTTGCCCTTCTCGCTGGCACGTCGGCCGCTTTCGCGCAGTCTTCCGTCTCTCAGATTGTCGTTTCGACTGCCATCGCTTCCCCTTCCGGGTCTGCCTCCACTGCCGTCCGGTCACAGGCGCCTCTCCCCCCGCAGCAAGCGTGGTGCCCATCCCGTATTTTCTGTGCGGGCCCCTTGCTCCAAACACTCAACTTGGCGGCTGTTTTCTCCGACCCCAAGACATACGTGGACAAGCCAACGTCCAAGGCGCCCGCGGACGTACTCTCCGACTTTGGCAAGCTACCAGGCAACACGAGCATCACGGAAGGCGACGTTGTCAACTTCGTCCAGACGGATTTTGCGGGCGAGGGTCAAGAGCTTCAGGAGGTTTCCCTCCCCGGTTTCACCGCCTCCCCGCCGTTTTTGGACACTATCACCGATCCCATTGTGAAGGGCTTTGCTGGCGCTGTCCACGGTATCTGGCCACAGCTTGCGCGAGGCACAAACGCCAGCGTTCTGTGTGACGGTGTCAAATGCGAAAGCTCGCTCATTCCCCTCAACCACACCTTCGTTGTTCCCGGTGCGTGTTTCTACTCACTATAATTTCACCACTGACGCGTCATAGGCGGCCGCTTCCGTGAACAATACTACTGGGACTCGTTCTGGATTGTTGAAGGCTTGTTGGAGTCGCATCTTTATGAAGTTGCCAAGGACACCCTCCAGAACTTTATGGATGAGCTTGAGCGTTTCGGATTCATTCCCAACGGCGGCCGCATCTACTGTGCGTCCTTTTCTTCCAAATCTTGTTTCTGTTTTCCCACAATTTCCAGACCTAAACCGCTCGCAACCCCCGTTGTTCATTCAGATGCTTGCCCGCTACGTTGCCGTCTCGAACGACACCTCCATTCTGCCACGAGCTCTGCCCCTCGCTGAGCGCGAACTTACTTGGTGGCAAACCAATCGCACTGTCGCGGTCAAGTCGCCCTTCAGCAACGCCACCCACCAGATGGCGCAATACAATGTCAGGAATACCGCCCCGCGTCCAGAGAGTTATCTCCAAGGTGCGTTTACAGGGCCTTTCCTTCTTTTCTTTCCTCAGTCTTTTTTGTAGACTACACCACCGTCCATGGCGTTACTCCGGCTCTTAATGCGACTGGCGCCGCTGACCTTTATGCGGAACTCGCGTCCGGTGCTGAGACTGGCTGGGACTACTCCTCCCGTTGGCTCACCGACATCCCCGCCGGCCTGCCCTCGCTGAATGTCCGCGGAATCATTCCCGTCGACCTCAACAGCATTCTCTGTGAGTGCACTCGCGAAAGAATTGGTGCTACGATGACTGACTAAGGACAGACAAGAGTCGCATTGTGCTCGCCCAGATGTACGGCATTGCAGGCAGCACCCAGAATGCGGACGCCGCCAACAGGCACCGTCAAGCGGCAGCTGCCCTCAAGGCTGGTATCATCGATCTGTTCTGGAACTCCTCCAAGGTGGTTTCTATTCCCTTTTGATACCGAAGCTGATGCATTACAGTTTGCGTTCTACGACTTCAATCTGCGTACTAACGCACAGAATACGATTTGGACGGCGGCCCACTACTACCCCTTCTGGAGCGGGATCGTCCCCGACGACGTCTTGAAGAGCTCGGACAACGCGTTCAAGGCGTTCTCGTCTTTGAACTTGATTATGAATCGCTACAATGGCACCATCCCGACCACATTTATTGAGACCGGGTTGCAATGGTTCGTGTGTTTCCTTTGGGGGTGATAATAGTTAACGTTTGGTCAGGGACGCCCCCAATGCCTGGCCACCACACCAGTACATCGCGCTCCAGGCCCTGAAGGAGCTTCCCTCCAACGTCACCAATGGCGCACTTCCTACACCCGCGTCTGGCCAGAATACCTTTTCGCTTATCCCCGACGGCCAGCTCGGCCTCCCCGAGTCTGCCCTTCCAGCCCAAGCATTCACCACAACGCGCAACGCTACTACCAGCGGCGCCGCAGCGGATATTAACAAACTTGATGGAACAGTTGTGAATGGCGGCAAGAAGGGCAGTGGTGGCTGGGCGGAGGCCCTCGGGACGCAGTTGGCTAACCGCTACGTCGCGAGCGCGCTGTGCAGCTGGTGAGTGGCCTGCTTTTTGTCCAGAGTACAACCGCTGATTGGACATAGGCAAGCGACGGGTGGCTCGGTGCCGAACCTGATCCCAAGACTGTCGGACGCGGAGCTCAACATCACCGAGAGTGTTACCAACGTCGGAAACGTTCGTCCTGCTTCTTCCCCTTCCCCGTCGCGGCTCAGTTTTTTTTTTTTTTGTAGATGTTTGAGAAGTTTTCGATTATGGAGATCACGAGCGCGGGTCGTGGTGGGGAGTACACCGTCCAGGCTGGTTTCGGGTGGACCAATGGTGTATTGCTGTGGGTCGCGAGCAACTACGCGAAGGTGCTTGATGCGCCAAGGTGCCCTCCCCTGCAGAACGCCGCGCGCTCCGGTGGGAACGGGGGCAATGGCGGGAACGGCGGCCGGGGCAACGGCGCTGTTGGTGTCAAGCCTGCGGTGGGTGTTGTTGCGCTGGTGGCCGCGGTGGCCGCACTGGTGCTGTAGGTGTAAAGGAGAGGGAAAGGCCTTGGGGCCAGAGGTTTACGACTACTAGTTAGCTAGCTGCATGCATATATACCTAAGTACTTATTGATGTCTTTAGTGTGCTGTTCTTACAGCCATGGATGGCCACACAATGAAAATTTGACCCACAATTGAATCAGCCATTCTCCCTCAAAACACAGTATATTGAAGTAAATTTTGGTATATTTGGAATGCACGGGACGAGGAAAATACGATGGTATACTTCACAAGGAAATTTGAGCAAGAAATGACAAACTTATTGTGGAAACCTAAACTTGGACTGAACAGATAACAACATTAGTAGAAAAGAACGTGCACATATGCATGGGCAGCCGAATCTTATAGTGCATCTAGTGCTACTGTGACAGTGCTGTCTGCTCTTGTTGTTGTCATCTTGCCAGGAGGAAGTGAAAAAAAAGTTAAGCTCTCCTACGACCGACCACGATGATATACAGTACATGACATTTACCTATTTTGCCAGGCGATCCCCATAGTCACATGGTCAAACCATTACCAGTATGAAAACCAATCTGAGGTATAGCTTGGTATTGTTATATCCAATGAATAGACTTAGGTATACAACTTCAAACTTCATAGTATCAGAAACATATAGATTGATCTTTGTATACCTGTCTATAGATATATAAAAAAATGGGAAGAAAATCAAGGTTGGCTCAAGGGGGGTTCAAGATCCTAATCAGGCACATAGGGTGGGAGGAGGTCCCCAGGGGTAAAAAACTTTTTCATATGAAAGATTTGAGCCTAATATAGGGGTAGGGACACTAGAAATACAGTCTATCTATGCACTAATTTCTATATGTAGTTCTCAGCCCCCAAATTCATACATTAATGTAGTCTTTTGATTAAGTGTCTGTATTACATGCAGATGTTACACAACAAAAAAAAAACTCCTTGGAAAAGAAAAAATCCAAATGAAAATTTCCGGCCTTTCGTTGTAAGGGGAGCATGTGATGTGACAGCTGTGACTGATCACGTGACTGGTCCGTGCGCAGATAGCCCTGTACTTAAGTAGTTGGCCGTGGGGCTGTTCCCCCGGCTTTGGTATCAACTAGGCACCTGGACCCTCATCCCCTGACATTCGTGTCAAACCCTGGGTTCAAAAACCCTTTTTCTTCGCCCTTGAAACCTTTTATTTTGGCCCTGGTTGATAAGATAAGACAAGGAGGAGATAAGATGGACGATAAGATGGTGATTGGATCATCAGATGTCGATGCTGATGTTGATTGACAGCGTGGAGTTGGCCATGAGGCAAACAGCACATAAAGGCATGGCTAAAGTATAACGTCATTGCCTCTTGTATTAGGCATGGTAAACACATGGTAGTAGTGTATATAAGTAGAGTAGATTTCGTCTTGTACCCCAGTCTTCGAATTGCATCATCTTTATGATATCTTTTCACGGTGCTTCTTGCTTGCCCTCACTGGCCAACTGGCATCCTCTGAATTAGTGTTGTTTGTGACATTTCGAGGCACAAAAATAAAAGGCCAGACAGTTGATTAAACTAATACTATTATACAGTACTTATATATATTAGCTTGTTGGAAAGCCCAAGATCATGTTATGATTATGACATTGTGTCACAAGACCATCATCAGGTGGATGAGCATACTGAAGACTTGATATGGCACAGTATATATGTTTCAAGTCTCCAGGTATATATACACATATATACTAGACAGGGCTGGGGCTACGCGCCAGCTTTTAATATTACTTGAATAAAGTAAATTTCTAATTATAAAAAAAATCCCATTAATTACAGAATAGCACGCAGGTGCCCAATAATCCTCTTAAATATCTGGTTACTCTTATATTAGAGATGTTGTGCCACTGCCATTGAAGTCATTCAATGGCTTCAATGGCTCATTAAATTGCCACTGAGAATATCTATAGACATTATTTCTTGACAAAAATTGGAGATTGACTATATAATAAGGTAATCTATTCTTCCCCACAATGTGGTCCCCAAAAAAGCCAAAAAATACAGCCATTGGAGCCATTCAATGGCTGTGGCGCAACATCTCTATTAAGCAGATATTGTGTCTACTATTATCTACATAGATTGCAACCCAAGTCAGTAACACTGGAGGCATGTGCCTGGGCATTAGGCTGCCTGAAGCTTTACGAGCATCAGGCAAGCACTGAGTGCCATTCTGGGAGTGTAACATGCTGTAACCATGAGGCTTCAGACTGATTAGATAAGATTTAGATAGCACTGAATTCACAAATAAGTCACTTTTTACTTGAGTTACATTCAAGTATACTATCAGTAGTTGACAAGGTCAACTTGACTGTATATTACTTGGCTATATCCAACCATAAAAACAGTCTATTTGTGCATTTAAAATGTATTTTTTGGTTTGATGGACCTAGTTGACCTGTAGTATATACCAATCTGGCCATTATATTACCCTTATATTAAGCAGATGTCGTGTGAATGTATGTACATGTTTGGCGCTGGCCCCAGCAATTCATTTCCATTTTTGGGATCAGTGCTGTCGAGGCCCCGAATTGGTAATGAAAGCTGTAAAATGGGATCAATCCTAATTGCGATACAAAGCTGTACATTATATCTAGGGCTATCTCCCATGCTAATACCCGAGTGTGTACTAAGCATTGTCAATTTGTCCACAAATTAATAACTAGGTATATAAAATTTACAGACTTAAATTGCAATCTATATGGATATTAGTAGACCAAATATTTAAGAGGGTTATTGTGCCAGTAATTAGTGGGATTTTTTTAAATTTAGAAATTCACTTTCAAGTTATTCAAGTCATATTCAGAGCTGGGGCGTAGCCTGTCTAGTCTACTCTTTACCCAGATAGGTTAGTATGAGCAATGGTCCACCCATAGGTGTCTATGAAGTGGCCTGAAGCCTTCCCTATCTGGACAGGTGGGGATTCCTGCATTCTGGTAGGCAGGCTGCTAGTGGGTTACTTTCTCAGATGACTGAGCTGGTCATAATTAGCATATAATGTATGACTAGCCATCTTAAACTACAGCTACTCTAAGCAGCAATTTGACCCTTTGCTTTGTTCTATCAAAGGATTATATATTAGAAAGGCTCACAGCAACTCCAGAGTTTGCTCTCAGTGGCATTAATGATAAGAAAATACATTGCTCTCACTGGTATCCTATAGATCCCTTCAAGTCATATACATAGCAATACCAATAAAATATATATAATCTATTGATGTAGGACATAAAAGCCTCATAGCATTAACATATCAAACTAGCCAGATGTCTGAGCCTTTATATACTTACTTACTTTTTGATTTGTAGGAACATTGTGAGTATTTTTAGTACACACACTTAGGTGTAGGGATTGGCACTGTACTGGATACGGTTACGGCCATACATTTACAGCTGAAGTATGGTGCTTCCCGGACTGTCACCATACCATACTGTGGGCTCGTGCGGGTCATTACGGATTTGGTACGGTCCGTAATACCGTATACAGTTTATACGGTACGGTGCTGTCCCTCGCGCCGTGATCCAGTGGTTGTCGTTGGTCAACGAGGGAGTGCAGGAGGCCGCATGGAGGATTTACCAGCCGCCTGCCATTGTGGGGCAGCACTGGTGAGGTTGTTGGCCACAGGAGGCTTGAATGAGGACTCAGCCCTGGCTCAGTTGGATGATCCGAACACTGGATTGCCTGTCTGGCGGCCTGGATGCAGGCTAGACAGACTGCGAACTGTCGAGAGCTTTCAGCGGAAGCGGATCCCTATGCCGACAGCCAAGCCTATGGCTTGCTGAGGTGTCTTGTATACGGGCCGTAATACGGGCTATGGTACAGCCTGGTACGGCCTCTGTTCCATAAGTGACCATACCATACCCCAGGACACAAAAGCCCGGTACGGGTACAGGTATGGTGGCCCCGTACCGTCACTGTACACCATACCATATGGTCCGGTGCCGATTCCTACTTAGGTGTCAGCATGGTAAATAACCCTACATATAATGTTTTTATGGTACTGGGTGCAAGATATCATGTACAGCTTTGTATTACAATTAGCATTGATCACATTTTACAGCTTTTGATATACATTTTGGGACTTTAATAGTGGTGACCCTAAAAAAATGGAAATATGGAGCCAATGAATTGCTGAGGCCAGTGTCAAACATATGCATACATTGGTTGAAAGAAAAGATTTCAATGTCATTTGTGGCTACTACAATTGGCTATCTATACTAAGTGGTGGAGTCATAGGTGGACTCAAATAGAGTCATAAATATACTCAGACACCATGGCGTGGGGGCACAATGAGTCAGTGTGGCTGTGCTCGGACTGACTCCAAGTTTGCTAGTGAGTCAAGCATTTCAACAACATTCACACAATATCTGCTTCATATAAGAGTAATGTATGATACTGACCCATTTTATTCAATTCAGTGGGCCTGTAAGCTGTGACTGTTTGGCCTGAATAGTTCAACTGCTGAATTTTGTGTGATACATCAGCCAATTAGGAACTTCAGTGCATAGAATTTTATCTACCCAAAAAATTAATGTGACCATGACCCACAGAATTGAATTAAATAGGTCAGTAATTTTGGAAGTTTTACAAAGGTTGAATTTTTTGCACCACTTTTGATCAGTGGTCACATGGCATTAATCATGGAAATATATTCACACTGAGGATTCGCGCAAAAACAGGGGCCCAAAGCAGGACTTTTTTGTGGAAAAAGCAGTGCCAAATGCAGCCGGCCTGATTGGATACAAATCAAGTCCACAGATTTGACTTGGAAATTACTAAATAAGATGATTTCTGGGTCATGTGCGCAAAAATCAGGGTCCATGATTTTTGTAAGAATCGGCCCCTGTTATTTGGGCCTGTATCTGCCACAAAAAGGCGGGCCACCTTTTCCCTCCAAAACCCCAATGTGATTACACTATATGGCAGGAGGGGGGAGGGGCCCCAGGAGGGTAAAAAAAAACTTTCCAACCTATATCCATGATTTGAATGTTAAACTCCTTGGTCTGGCTAGAAGGACTAACTTGAACCAACCAGTGTCATGTGCACTACTGGCATTAATTTTATGCTATTTTTCTGTAAGTAGTTAGCAGTCATATAAAGTAGTGTAACCCCATTCTTTCTATGGAGTTTAAGGTGATATAGAAGTCTATATATCCACTCTCCAATAAGATCAGGCAATGAGGAAGTTGGGGTACAATTTCATTGGGTCTCAAGTTTGTGAGTTGGTTCTTTGGACCAGACTCAGGCCTAACTATGAGGGACTATGTACTGAGCCTGTTCTTCTTCTCAAGTCCCTGCATACACATATTTTCCCTCCTCTATCCCCTGCCCATCTGTTTCAACAAATAGCATCTCAACTACAAAGTTGTCTACCAACTTTCATACTCAGGAAAGCAACAGGAAAGTCAGTTCTCATGGCGGTATCAGTGATGAGATCAGATTATTGTGATATACCACTGAGTTCTTAAGCCATCCAATCAATTGAGGTTCTGAGATTACCATATATGGAAGGGTCATCAGATTTCAAGTCTTGGAATCATTAAGATTCTTGCAGTCAAGTTGTAGAGTGGTTCCTTCTATCTGGATCAACCATGTAAGTAGGGCAATGCTTGAAACTACTTAGAAACATCAGTCTATCCACAAAAAAATAACCTCTCAATTACTACTGGGCTGTCGGCGCAGGGTCATCCAGCCGAAACCGCAGACGTGAGATCAGCAGGGTCGTCTCCTTCTGCACCTCATGCAGGTCAGGCACTGCAGACACGCGCGGGACTAGTTGCGGCCCGAGTGGTGCTGCGTCGGCTGCCTCGAAGACGCCCCAGTCGTGCCCAGGCTGCCGCGTAGAGTAGACGTTGAACTGCAATTTGCTCAGCTGCCGCGATGAAAATTGATTAGCCAAGTGATTAATAGTAAGATTCAATGCGGAAACGCACCTCCTCCGGGTCGCCGTGGCTCACCAGCATGGCGTGGTCGCGGGCATTGAGCGTGCCGTAAACTGTACTATTCTTTAGCATATATACGCATGTAGTGGTTTGGACTCACCGAGGAAAATCTCCTGCTTGAGCAGCGCGCCGCCCGGCACGCCCTCTAAAATTGCACTGATATTCTGGCGGAACCACATCTTTGGTTTCTCCATGTCTGTGGACCGCCAATGCCGGTACTCCGCCGTGTCCGTAATCAGGTGCGCCGTCCCGCCGAATGCAGAAAACTCATATGTGCGCTCGATGTCGCTTCCAGAACTTGCCAAGCCACTCTGGCTGCTGAGATTGCTCGTGCTACTTGCAGGCGAGGGCGCGCCAGACGCCGTCACGGTGTTTGCGCGGAACTTGTGCTGCACGACTTTGATTCCTTGCGAGAAAAGGCTTCCCGGCCCGCGATGACCGTGGCCTGCCGGAGCTTCCTGTTTCTCCCGGATGATGGCAATCCGAGGGAGCGGGCGAACCCGGACATAGCCGGCCGCAGCCGGGTCCGCGCTGTTAAACAGGGTCATGAACACGCCCTCGGGACGCTTAAGGTAGCCAACAGCGCCGAGCTCGACGCGGCTGGGCGTCCACAGCGGCAGTGTCACTAAACAGTTGCTTAGTACATATCGTCAAATGTTATCAAACAGACCGTTGAGATGGTGGAACGCATGAGACAGTGAGCGGCGGTAGAGCAATTCTGTCTGCGCCGGCACACCGGTCTCCAATGGCAATAGTGCCCGCTCTACTCGGAGCCGCTCAATTTGGTCAATGGCAATTTCCTCTTCGGTAGGATTCGGATTGTCTGGAGGCAACTCCAACGTGGCAAATGGGCCGCTGGCCGGCGTCGTCATCGCGGTAAACGCTGGGTCTGACTCGCTGGCACTATCACTGTCAGAATCGCTGGAGACGGATCGATCGGCTGCGTCTTTTGTCAGATGCAGAAGAACAGAAACAAAGAAACATACCAGGTGTGTAAACTTGGATTTGCGCGTCTCTGCGCCGAATCGACCCGCTCAATACGCTCGCAGCCTCCGCGACTGTTTGATTTGGCGGTGGCGGGGTTACGCACAGCGCGGCCATGGCACGTTTCATCGCCTCAAGCTCGTGTTCCGCGAAGCCTTGCTGCAGCAGCGCTGCTTGTCGTGCAAGTAATCCGTCCAGTGGCCACGTGAGTGCCCTTAGATGGGGCGACGGTGATGTCGTTGTCCTCGCCCGGGCCCCAGGGCCTGGTGTGTTATTCGTCGCTGTTTGCTGTGCCTGCCACCGCGCCTGTTGCAGTTCGAGCTCGCCCAGCAACAGTGTCATGACAGCGGGCATGTGAGCCTTCGGAATCTGGAGTATCCGCGTCGCAACTGCGCTCGTCGGGGCCGTCATAGCGCGCTTTAACGAGCGGCCAAGGGCCGCTTCGTCACGCTCGTGATCGCGCCGGTTCTCCAGTGTGTGTTGCCAGTGCATCCGATGTCGCAGCGCCGAGACGTCTGTCATTTCGACGGGGTCTTGGTGGACGACAGCCGCAGAAAGCCCGGCAAGATCGAGTGCGTCAATTTCGTCTGGCTCTTCTTCCTGCCCCAGTGACTCGGTGGACTCGAAAAGTACCGGAGATGGGACGACTGGCGCGAGAAGCAGTGGGGCGTGTTGTGTGTCGCTGGTGGGTTGTAAGAATTGCTGGTGCAGGACACGCAGGGTACTCTGTGAACGCGAAATTATATGAATTGGTACTAGTATGGATGGTCTAGTAGACTTACGCTGGCGTTGAACAGCAGCAAAGAATCCGTAATTGCCGTGTTGTATTCTTCAATCTTGTGGACGATCTCCTCGCGGTAAAGGTATCTCTGAAGGAAGCGCATTTGTGTCAAGCCTTTTACAAATGCCTCAATATCAATGAAGCGCCTTACAACACGTCAGCGTGAACAAGTTCTGGGAACACAGAGACGGCTGACTCTACGATCTGCTTCAGCGGCTTCTCCATCTGTTCGGCTACATTTTCACCCGACTGGTGAACAATAACGCGGATGGCCGCCAATAAATCAGCGCAGCGCTCCGTCAGCCGCAGGCATCGCCATTGGTTACTCTGCACCCAAATATGAGCAGCATCGCTTGCGTGAAGCGCTAAATACTCGCCTGGACAACTTGCACGGACTCCCATATCGACTTCAGGACCTCCGCCGCCAGCGCGAGCCCAGGTACCGGCGCATACTCGAGTGCGTCGGCGGCGATCGGGAGAACATGGTCCGCAATAACTTCGACGGCCTTGCCCACGCGCTAGCTGGCAGGTCAGCAGCAGAATGCTATATGGGTAGTGTTTACCTCCTTCAATCGTTGCAGCTCTACCCGCTCGGGGCTGGGATGTGTCTGGGCGGAATGGCCATGGCCGAGCTGGTGAAATGTGCTTGTGACCCGCTCGCGGAACGAGGGGGTCGGGCTGCCATGTGTCGCGGCGGCACTGTTGCTGGATTCTCCTTCGCCGCTTTCAGACGGTGTTGAGCGGTGCAGCAAGGAGGGTTCGCTGTCCGCGATATGCGACGATCGTGGCCCGGGGGAAGAGAGCCTTCGCGGGCGAGTGGGGAGTGACATTGGGGGTAGAGAGAGAAGGGGACGGCGCCAGTACTACTATGCTGGGAAGGCTTTAGGCACTACCGCATGCGCCACTCGTCACTGGCGCTTCCGAGCACTGGCACAAGTCAGCAGCCGCTGGGAAGCGCTAACTTTAGCCCTAGTAGTCCGGCCTGCCGAAGATATGTCGCTGTCAGCGTGTGGCGGGACGCAGCTACAACGGTCCACAGCTCCAGCACATCATCTTCAGGAAGCCTGCCAATTTTGGTCTGATTTGAAAAGGGCTATACACGTCTTACGGCAAGTGTTCCGAGTCAGTATGCACTAGCGGCTGCGCATATGTAGTGGACCACTTGTCGCTTTGCGTTGTTTCTGAGAAAGGATGCGCCATGTAGTTGGTTGATGCCAAAAGAGAAAGTTTTCGTCACAAGCACATCAGTTACATCATGACATGTGACGTGTAATGTAATTCAATAGATCAGAAAAACTGATACAATACACAAGTCAGCTATAGAGTCCACCCAGCTGTCGGCAGTATGAGTGCAGATTGGATATAGTATTTCAACCAATTCGAATGTTACATGTCACACTGGCTGATTAAGTATATGATTTAAGGTGGGCTAACAAGCGGCATAGCACAAACTGATTAAAAATACTGTAACATCAATTAAATATTGAGCCTTGCATAAATATTGGTGACCAAAAGACTTACACTGATTGTGTCAAACAAGTAGCAATATTAATGAGACATGAATTTGCTTATTTTCAGATCTGAAACTACTCTGAAATGGGACTCATATAGATTTTATCTTATTCAACAGAGAGGAATATTCTCCTGAAGCATTAAATTATATAAAGTTTATTGTTGATAAGATATCATATCTCAGAGTAAAGGTAGCTTTAGTTCTATTATCACTGGCATTTCTAGCAAGTCTGCAGCAGCTATTATTATTGCTTATCCTCAGGAAGGAATTTTTTGCATCAAGAGATTTAGACTTTAGAATTCAGGGTGTTGGTCTGAGTGCACCCGTTTACATGGGAAAATGTGACCTGGCATGCAGTGATACAGTGGTGACCATCACAGTAATTTTCAGAGATGTATAAGTAAGCAGGCACATCAGGCTTTGGGGGAAAAAAGCAGTCCAGACTGGACTCTTTTGTGGCAGATACAGGCCCAAATAACTGGGGCTGATTCTTACATAAATCATGGGCCCTGATTTTGGTGCATGTGTCACAGAAAAGATCTGGCCCATTCTCTCACAATCAGCCTTACCCACTGCACTTGTAGGCCCAACAATTCATCTGTTCTATTCTGGCCCCTGGGTGTGTGTTTCTCAAGAGAAGCCTTGCACAGCCCGACCCAAAGCCTGATAGTATGTGACTCAGGAATTCCCTTATTTGGGAGGAAATTTGTGGCCTTGATTTAAATCCAATTGGCTGACCCCATTGGGCATCAGTTTTCCCATAAAACAGTCCTGCTTTGGCCCCTATTTTTGTGCAAATCCCTGTGTGAGGTAAGCTTCTACTCATATAGTATACGGGACACACCAGATGCGACTACAGGCAGTTACTAAACAGATGTGACACTTCCTTTGGACATCCATTCAGATGCAACATTTATACCTTCAGATGCAACACACGGGCACAGATGCAACAGTCTGGTCCAAAAACAGATGCAACAGTAGAAACATGAATATTTTGTTTTAACTGATATTTCTTAGTATTGGTTAGGGTTGGTTAGGGTTGGTTAGGGTTTGGTTAGGGTTCGGTTAGTTAGGGTTAGGATAAGGGAAAGGTACATCTATATATGCTGTTGGGGGAAATGCTGAGTTAATGTTGTAACTATTTGTTAGGGTTTGGTTAGGATTGGTTAGCGTTATTTTTTGTTCAGAGGAATATTAACTACCAGTGTGATCCAATTAATTGATTGCTGTTGTGGTGTCGCATCTGGGCCATCGAAAACAGACGCACCAGCAGGCATGGAACGGATGCGACACCTGTCGTGTCTGTTTTCCTGCCTGTTGTCACATCTGTATAATCCTCACTCATATACCACCCCCCTCTCAGAAAAAAAATGAGTTTTTTCAGCACCTCTGGCACCAAGAACTTCCTAATTAGGCAGAGATACAGATTGAGATTTTTAGATTGAATGTCATGTCATGCTCAAACCAGCATTTGAATTGAATATATAATACTATAGTAAGTAAGCACATGATAATACTGTAGTATTTTACTCATTTCAAATGTCACATGTCACACCCATGATATTATACAAATTTTTTTTTGCATGTCACAGAGATTTCGAGAATTTCATGTCCCAAAGTGGTAATTTTGCGCATTTTACGGCACCAAGCACTTCCAAATAAGGAAATCATACAAAGTCAGATTTTTGTATGTGATGTCACGCCCAAAATGGCTTTTAAATTGAGTAAAATAGTACAGTAGGTAGTTAGGCTTGGCCACATTAAGGCCACAATGAGATGCCAAGGGGCAAGGAACATATGCAGCAAAGATTCAAGGGCTCACAGGTGGACTAACCAACAGTGACATGTGTGATATTTGCCTATTTAGGCAGGTGTTTCACAGGATTATATGATTGACTCATCAAGAAATAATGGCTGGATTTGTGGGGGGGAGTGGAGTTAGCAAGTGCATGTGATAACACCCAAGTGTGCAAGTGCTTAGCCTCACCCAGTACTCCTAAATGCAATGCTCAGACCCTTGCCTCACTATAGATAAACCTCCTGCAAGTGTATTGGAGACACATCAGCTCACACTGTACTTGCAGATAAGCTCAAATAGCTATATCTATATACTTACAAACATCATTGTCTCACACTGCACTTGCAACATTTCAACATATATCTTATTTTCCTCCACCTACTATCCCTGCTTCACTCTATACAAGTCCACAAGGCCTATATACTGTAGGTATGCACACAATGACAATCAATAACAAGGGGCAGTATGAAATGAGGAGGGATAAGGCTGTAAGTGGCAGGTGCCGAACCTTACATAATAAGCCAGGGAAGATCTAGAGCAGACCTGAAGAGAGAGTTGCCAGCAGTGATGTGGCTTGTCCCAAAAAGGGTTATAGAATTGCACAGCCATTCCCCGATATGGAGGGGGGGCTGGTTTCAACACAATTCTATAAGGCCAAACCTTAGGTCCAGCAATAAGTAATTACCTGCCAACACACACAGCTCCATCCTCCAACACTATCATATGAGATAAGATTGATTTATACTTTACCATGATATGATATAATAGTCCTACTCACACCATCTGGTATATGTGATACATCCACTAACTTTCCGAGATCCAAAGTTAGTGGACACCTGCTCATAGGGATCAGCACAGTACTGTATACAGGTACAGCCATACTTTTAGCTTCTTAGCAAGGTTAATATGGGTATGGTATGGACCTGTATATGGCTGTACAGTACAGTTGTCATGGGTTTTTATGGTGAGTCTTGAATGGATAGTATTTTACTCAATTTGCATGTCACATGTCACATCTGTTAATTTATGTGAATTTTTTTTTGTGTGTGTCACAGCAAATTTCAAAAGTCACTTTCCAAAATGGTAATTTATCATAATTTTCTGTGGCTATGGCACCCAAAAGTTGCCTAATTAGGCAATTTGATGTTGTCATATGAATTGCAAATTTTGTATGCAACATTGCACCAAAAATGGTATTCAGATTAAGTAAAATACTACACTATATCTAGATGTAGATGCATAAGGTGAATAAGGAGCAAGTGGCAGGCAATGAGATTGATCTTAACTGTCAGGGGGCTGGATTTGACCAGAGTCAGTAACTATGATCTGGATGATGACAGCTTGGTGGAAGGGAGGCAGCAAAAAGTCTGAAGGAAAACCAGGTGACTATCACAACACTATATCAGAGGGAGTGACCACATGTCTTGCAGGCCAAATACAAGTCTGAACAAATATGTGAATTCCCAAGGATACATTTAAAGTGTCTGAAGTAGTAAGAACTTAGAACACAGGGGATTTGGATGAGAGCAAAGACTAAGGCAAGAAACATTAATAATGAAACTGAAGTACAAGAGTAAGATCTGCAGGATCTCCCTGCAAGGGCATCATAAGTAAGGGAATAAGAAGACATACACGAGGCAAAGGAAACAAACTAAATGCCTAAAGGATATAAGTAAACAAGCAAAAGACCAAATGGGATAATACTTGTTTAATATTGATGGTCAGGGAATCCAAACTTGTCTGAAGGAGTCTGCATGCAGATTGGCTGTTGAAGGGGAAACACTCAGACACCTTCATTGTGTAAAAACCCTGTTGTGCTCCAAGGATAACCTCAGAGCATCCAAAGATGCACAGGATAGATATAACAACAATATAGGTAAGATATATACCAACTCTGTATTTAGGGAAGTTAGTGGACAGTCAATTAGATCATTATAATTTAATTTATAAATACTGTACTGTTGCAATCAATTCGGCATGTCACAGTCACACCTGATTTTCGGAAACACTGGGAATAATTTTTCTTGATTTTTCAGATTTTTGGGCAGCTTTTGATTCCATTAAAAAACCGGTGATCTTGTCAGGGGAACCCCTGCTTTGGCCTCCTTCGGACCGTCCGAGTGCATCCGAGGCACATCCGACAGGCGCCCCCCCGCCGGACGCTCCGACCAACCCCGACCATCGTCCACGGCCTCCTTCGCCCGCACAATCACCGATCCGTCAAGACCCTCCCAATAATCACCTTGGGACAGAGCCTGCGACGCCGCTCAGGCCTTCTGCGCTCTACGTCGGCAGTTACGGACGACCAGTATATAGTTGGCGCCCTCGCAGGCGGACCCTTAGAGTTTCTTCTCTTTGGATCCTCCCCTGCTAGGTCGGTCCCTCCGTGTATTTCCGTAGCTTTTATTCACGCTTTGGATCCTCCCCTGCTAGGCTTTCGTCGGAGTCTCCAGGGTTGCCCTTACAGATCTGGCCAAATTGAACAAAATAGTACAGTATAGATATATGTCTAGGATATC